AACAATAGTGGTTATCTAAAACTAGCCAGAAATTGTTCAGCTTATGGTCAAAGTATAACCTTGCTGTCAAACTTTAGAAGTGAAACTAATTATATAGGAACTAAATTAACCATAACAATTCCAGAATTACAAGAGTTACTAACGAAAAAGAATTACAGTTAATTCAGAGTATAGATATAGAGACAGATACTAAAGGATATACTAGAAAATACTAAACATTTATCCCTTAGAAAGTCAGGGTTAAGTCTTAAAAAATTTCAGCAGCATGTAGAACAAATACATACTACAGCTGGTGAACAAAAGTTAGATAAATGGAGATTATCTAACTCCCTAATAATAACCTTATGCTTAGTAGTAATACAAGTAGCATAATGTTTAATATCAAAAGAGATAAATTTACTAAAGTTAATGGCATTAGATGGGCTATGTAAAAATAGAAAGAAGAAAAGACTGAGAATGGACAATAATGAATTGTCTGAATATTCAGAAGCTACTGAAATAGTAGAACTGAGTGAGTAGGCCCCATCTAATCAGGACATAGCTTGATTATTTAGATGATTACAAAATTATCTAGATACAACCAATTGGCGAGGTTAGTGGATTTCTAACAGTGATATTAGTCAAAATTATAGGCAAAATTAGTAGGTATAGAAAGTTCGAGAAAGGACAAAAATAACAGACAATAACCAGAAACAAGAGACAAATGACGCTTATAACCAGTAGACGAGAATAGACAGTTAGACAGTACAATGAAATAAAACTAAACTTGAGGATCGGGACTTCTACCAACAGATGTCAAGTGTTAAGAGTGTGTTAGTGAAGTAAAGTGTTGTGAATAGAGTGATTGAAGTGATTTGGTGAACAAGTGCGAACAAGAAGTCAGATGTATTAGCAAGCGAATGTGTGGCTATGGTGAACAAAGAACAAGTGAAATGACTATGTATGTTCCTACAGGGACAAATTAATAACATTGTGCTTAAATAAATAATTGTAGGAAACCAGGACAACAACAAAAAAGTGGCTATCGTAGAGGTAGAAGGATTTAGGGTTAATGGACTGTACCTAATAAAGAAGATGGCGGTGATGGACTGTCAATCTGGGTGGACAGACGTATATTGTTTTAGGCCCCCATGTTCGGAGGATCATCTCAGTGACGCCGATAAGCGACAGGTCCTGTGGTGTACCCTTTATCTACGTGGACTCTGTTGGGATGATGGCGATCATTCCACATTGGATTTCCTACGGATTCGCCAAGAGATATGGCAAGAGTACACCAAGGGCAGAGAGAAGGCCCAGCTGCTGCAACGCCATTTGGAAATACCCCATTTAGATATGGAGGAGTATGGATGTCCCCCTATCGACAATTAGAGTGTCGCAACCAGGTGACCTGCACTTATCATTGCTATCCGCATGAGCATTGCGCATACTGGAAGGTATGCGCATTGTACGAATGGGTGACCAACAGCAGTCAAGACATATTCCGTAACTTCAGGAATGAATTTTAAATAAATGTTTATGTTATAGTTTTTACATGTTTAAACACATATGCCTTGTTATAATCAATTGTATAACCTTTTATGTAATCGATGTAATCATATATATATGAATGTATTCTGATATGTTAATCACAGATATATATTCTAATAATGTAAGCATAACTGATAAAGAGAGATGGAGATGGTGAGTTGGACCATGAATTTTGTTATGAATAACAAAATTTTTCTAAGAAGGGAGGGATGAAGCAACTCGAAATTTTTGAGGAAATTTCATCAATTGCTTCAATAATTATGAATAATTAAAAGTACTTTGGATATACTTAAAATAAAAGCTTTAAGAGTTTCAAAACGAGTAAACAAGTTAAGGAAGATATAAACAAAGAAAAAGGGACAAGGAGATGCCTGTATTGAGAAATAAGCCTTGAGAAATGAGTAAACAAGAACGAGGTTAGACCTTCAGCAGGAAATAGCACAGCACGTGCACAAACTTGAGAGGCGAGCCTGGGAGATTAGTGACCCAGGGTCAATAGCAGAGTTAGTCAACAGCCTAGTTAGTCACAGTTATTGCATCATAACCGGAAAATGAATGCCAATGCATGTGACCATTTAAGGGAATGTTGGCCTCGTTTCCTTAGCACTGTAGAAGCTACAGAAAAGTTTATATTCTATGAATCATCTCAGTGCTTTGATGCAGTATTAGTTACAGTACATGGGTGTAGCAGCACAAGTGAATAGGCGACCGGCTAACACCAATTAACTATGACCAATAACTTGAGGGTTTTGGTTTAGTTCCTGGATTAGCCCGGGAATTGCCCTGAAGCATCCAATAGGAGCACAGCACTACTTGTGGGTGATGCTGTGTCCTATTTGGACGCTTGCCATGATACAGAGAAATTTTGCTTTAAAAACCCATGTCAGGAGCTGCAAAATCAGCTCTCCAGCCATCAAGAAACTCTCCACTAGTTTCCTGGCAGTTTTTAGGATGAAACCATGCAATTGAGATCCTCTAATGTAGCTACTGCTTCAAAGGTTCCAACTCTACAGTAAGTATCTCTCTCTCTTAATCAGTTATTGCAAGAAGTGTTAAAGTTTTGCTATTAATGTTTAACGATTTGTATGTTGTTAGAAGTTAATAAAGATTACTTTGAGTATTTACTGTTGATCTGAGACTCATATTCTTTAGTCTAACTGTAAACTCCTCGAGTTAGCGACTTGTGGCTCCACTCGTCACGACAAAATCCTCCAACAAATAAATCTGGTGTAAAGGTTGGTTTTAATTGAAACTCCAACAATTAAGCTCATCTGAGTGCTAACCTTTTACAGATGATCAAACTCCCGACGAAATAAGGCGGAAACAGTCTGTGGAGGAACGTGAATGAAAGCCATTATAAACTTGTGAAAAAAAACATTATATCTCCGTATTGGGAATGGAGACTACATAATTGAAATAAGGAACCAAACACTTGAAATTTGGTGGTGAGAAAAGGCTACCAAGATCTCAATTCGCCCAAACAGTGTCAGCGTCTACTTAAATAATTTTATCTTTGAAAAGTATATTTTTAGAATACCCTAATTGTGAAACTAAAAACAATACATCTGCAATGTAGATTGCCACAAACAGATCAAATGGATAAGATTTAAGATGTCACTATGTGATGTTATGTATGTGGAAAATAAAGTTTATGATGAAATTTTGATGGACATGACCTTAATAACATTATGGAAGAAAAGGTGCTTGATGTCATGATTGATCAGTTTCTTAAGACATTCAAGCAGTGTGTTGTTGCTTGTGGTTGGATAAATGGGATTTTATATTCTATCTACAGAAATATTCAATACAAGTCTAAAGAGGTTTAATTTTATTTTATTGTATAGATCATTAAGCCATATATTATATTAGATCTTTGGTTCTTTACCTTAGAAAGAGCATTAAATTGTTGGAAAGGGTTCAGAAGACAGGTAAGTATTTCTGAAATAGTTTCCTCTTCAAAACAAAACAGTTGGAAGGTATCTAGTTTAGGTGTTTAAAGTTGCTAAAGGAATTTATGGTGTTGCATCATCTCTTTTTCATATGCAATGATAGGACAAAGGGACACAATTATATGCTTTGGCAGGGTAGGAATGATCTCCAGCTAAGACATTTTTTTTTCTAACAGTGTGATTTGCCTTTAGAATGGGTTGCTTTCAGATGTTGTGGATACAGTACATTTAAGGAAAGGTTTTAATAAAGTTTGAATGGTAAGGGCTGGCTTTGAAATTTTTTTAGTGGATGCAATAGCCAAGAAGGACCAATAAATCCCTTGTTGTCCTTAACTTATGTTATGAACTAATCATGAATTTAGTATTTAGTTAAAAATTGTTAAATGAGTTGTCAGTGGATGGTGAGGATTAAGTTCATGAATGTGAGGAATATTTCTCTTTGTGTTTAGTTTTTGGAAAAATGACAACTGAATGATGTGTGGCTATTAAGGGCTAGGACCTAAACTGAAAAAATAACTAGTTTTCAATATATTTCATCTAATTTTCCTTAATTGCTAGGAAGAAGAAAAAATGTCAAATTTGGTTTAAGTTTCTTGTGAAGCTAATGATTTAAAGAAATATAAGTATCTATAGGCCTTCCATTTCATCCTGCTTTTAGGTATGGTAAGTGAATAATGCTTTTTTTTTTCATTCCACTCTTAGGTATGATAGGTGGCTAATGCTTTCTTTTTTTCACAGACTCAAGAAGGAAGGAAAGTGCCAAACTGAAGCTGCTGACTGTTCATACTGTCATGTATTTTTTTTATTCAGGGTTTACAGAGTTTTGTTTGATTTTCCAGGAATGATTGGATGGTGGTGGTAGAAACCTAACACTATCTTCTAAAGAGTGAGCTTTGCCTTTGGATCAAAAAGAATTAGGATTTCTCTGAACAAGAGTTCTGATGTTTTCCAGAATGGATCGAAGTGATAATTCTTATAGAAACCAAGAACATTACCAGGCTATTCTGTTGGTGGTTGTGGTGAGATGCAGTACTTTTCTGATGCTGATCTCATTGAAGTCTATTTTAATTTAAAAATATTGAAAGTTCGTATTTGAGAGTAAGTGTGATAAAAACCTTTGTGCTGTGTTATGCCCATTTTATATCATTTGATAGAGAGGAAAGTACAATTGGTTAGTATTATATTAAAAATAAACTGTTTAGTTAATAAGTATTTATTTATGACTTTATAACTATTCATATCTTTTTCAGTGCTTTAGTACATAACAAAATATGTAGGTAACTCAAAGCTCTGAATGTTTTCTTTTGAAAAACATTCTTCAAAGATATACATGTTTTATGTAATTCAAATGATATGTTTATGGATATTAAATTAGCTACCAGTTATTACATGTATTATTTTTATACAAAAGTCTTTTTTTAAATTAATGCAATTTTTTTTTCATACATTCTCCTTAGGATGGTTGATGGATACTACTGGTAACTGTACAGCATTGATTTGGTTTAGTTCTCTCTCTAATCTTGGAGCTGCATTCCTAATGCTTGTTGTTTATCTTCTTATAAAGAATGAAAAAAAATGTGAACAGTTGATGCTTCAAACAAAAGTATAAGAATTAGTAAGTGATTTTACCTTAATATATTTATTGCTTAATGAAAATTTAATTGTTAACCACCCAAATACTATTACTCAGTTGGTATTTTTTTGTACTTTATAATTCTTTGACATAAAAATAATGAGTTATAAGGAGTTGTGAAGAAACAATCAAATTCAAGTTTGACTAGTTGTTAAAAAAAAAAACAATTCATTAGCTCTCTTAAATTTTCTCCAAGAGTTCTGTTTCTCTATCATTGATCATTGTTAGTACACCAATCCTCATGGGTTTTTAGCCCTACATAGTTATTCAGCCATAAGTACTACTGTTACGACAGCGGAAGTCACGTGACGCTAGTAACACGTCATGAGATTCTAGAAGGATCATGTCTGTTCGTAGCAACTCTATTTTTTTCTACGCACCCTCTATTATTGTATATAAGTGCACCAGATAAAGCGAGACTATTAATCGGAATTGGAGTTGCAGACAGACAGAGATGGACAATTGAGTCAAGCGAGGTAGTGACCGTAAGTAAAGTGTGTGAATCATTGTGAATTATAGCATGTGTTTAAGTTAAAGTGACTGTGGAAATTAAGTGTATTGCAAAGTTGAGAAAGAATAAACTAGTTTTATTTATAAAAGGACTTGTACCACTGAAGTTTCTCAGAAAGAATTTCTACGGAAAATTAACAAACGAACACAGAGACGTAACACTACTATATACAACACCTTTCAATTGTTGTCATACTTAGTAGCATATATGATCACCTATATCCAATTAGTAATTAATTGTTAATTAGTTTTCTTTCTACATTTTTCCCTGCCATTTTCAGGGAAACCTGTTTCTGAGGTTGTTGTGACTGGGATTCAGTCTTGGTCTTTTTGATGGAAAGTTTGGTGTGTTATCCCCTTGAATGATTAGGTAAATCAAATTAAGCTATTATAAACATAAAACTTTCTAAGATATGAAACTTATTGATGAAATGGAGGTTAGTGAGGTTTATAAATCCTAAAAAGTATAACAGGCAATTGTTATGACAAAAAAGATTATGAGAGTCTTTTATCTCAATACATTAATTATAGCTTGAACTGTTTTATGGTTATATTAACTATAAAGTAAAGGGTTAAAGATAATTTAATGTGGAGGAATGTAACATGGTTGACAAATCAGAAAACTTTACTTGGGTGTTTTTTAATATACTCTTTAAGAGCATATGAAGTTCTTAATGATCAAATTGTTTAAACCTAGAATAATATTCCTTAGTTTATATTTTGGTTCAAGAAAAAAAAACTTTTCACACTATTTATTATCTGTAAGAGAGTAAAGCTGCAGGGCCTTATTAGTTTTAATTTCAAATGTAAAACTTGCAAAAGGGATTGATGAGGAGCTTAAATACTTTCAAGCCTTAAAAACAGTACTAATAGGACTATTAGTAGTGGATTTAATAATAATGAGCAATTTCTATTAAGTAACAGATTTCAGTCTTTAGCTTGTGCAGATGGTGAACTTCAGTTGGGAAGGAAAACAAAAGGGACAGCTAGAGATGGAAATGAAAAACATAAGTAGGTTACAGTATTAGTAGATTCTTTAGTACTGCACACACTTGGATGGGATAGTCTGTGAGGTAAATAGGAAGAAAAGAATTAGATTATGTCATCCAAGGCCAGGGATGGAGAATATAGCTGACAAAGCAAATAACCTAGTCTGTAGCACACACTGAGGATAATGAAGTAGAGAAAGATAGGTCAGAGGAGCTTATTGTTAAGTATAAGGCATTAATAAAAACATTCAAAGAAAAGGGCCATAATAACTTAATTCTGTCTAGGATACTGCCAAGACTTAACTGTGAGGATGAAATTGTAAGTAAGTCACTACTGCTGAATGCTAGGCTTAGGTTATTATATAAGGAAGAGCAGGTTGGCTGTTTGGATTTGTGGAATCAGTTCAATGGGAAAAGGGAGCTTCTTGGATCTAATCTAAATTACTTCATAGGTATTTAGGTTAGTTCTATCAAGCCCCATTAGGGCTTGAGCGGACAACCAGGAGTATTCAGAAATGGTTGTTTCTGTTCACCCTGCAAGCAGAATTAGATTTAATATCTAAAGAGCAGGGGTTTTAACAGTGATGAGTAGTTTGAACTGAATTAAGATTTTAGCTATTGAAATAATATTGCCTCAACATATGAGGAAAAGCTATGATTGTGGAGACATATTCAAAGAGAGAGGAAAAATGAGGAGAAGAGCTTGTTCTGGCTGATGATTGAAATAATGAAAAAAAGTGTTCAAAATTGGTAAAACACACATCTATGACAAAAACTTTATATTTCCTTGCAAAATTTTGGGCAAAAGGCCTTCATCAGGCAGTTTAAACCAGGTTACATAGAATAAAGACTAAGTCTGAATTGTTGAAGAGTTAGAATATTGTTACGTCTCTGGTCATTTGTTAATTTCCCGTATAATCTCTTTCGGATGAAACTTTAGTGATACAAGTCTTTTTTTAAATAAAACTAGTTTATTCTTTCTCAATTCAGCTTTGCAATACACTTAATTTCCACAGTCACCTGAACTTAAACAGATGCTATAATTCACAACGAACGATTCACGCACTTTACTTACTACCGCACTTTACTCAATTGTCCGTCTCTATCTCTCTGTTTGCAATTATTCTCCCTGCTTTATTTGCCTGTCTTATATATACAAAATAGAGGGCATCTCGAGCCTTCAGGAACCTTCTAGATACTCATTACGTGTTACCAGCGTCACGTGACTTCCGCTGTCGTAACACTGCCCCTTCCTTAGTATTGTTCGTCCCGAACAATAGCCACTTAAATTAAACTAATAGATAATTAACAATAACTTAATTAAATGTAAAGAATTTACAAACAAAATTAAAATTCAACAAAGTCTTAATTTTACGGGATGTATCTTCTTCTGTACTGGTCTTGTTGGCTTCTGCTTCACGTGGGGTTCATCTGCTCCATCAAGAAATGTCCTATTCTTGGTAACACTCACATCAGTGGTAGTAACTTCATTAACGACTTCATTGTTTCCCTTCTCAAAACCAAGTAGAGTTTCTTCCTCGACAGTGGCTTTTTCGGGTGACACGTC